TACGCCGACCCGTCGGGCTGGGGCGCCCGCAGCCCGCCGCAGTACTGCAGCAAGTCCAGCTCCGTGCTGTCGTGCTGGCCCAACAGCGCGGCCGCCGCCCGCATGGCCAGCGGCAACCCCTACCTCGGGGAGGAGGCGGAGAGCCTGGCCCCCGAGCGCTCCCCGCTGCCGGGCGCCGAGGACTCCAAGCCCAAAGATTTGTCCGACTCCAGCTGGATCGAGACCCCGTCCTCCATTAAGTCCATCGACTCCAGCGACTCTGGGATATACGAGCAGGCCAAGCGGAGGCGGATCTCGCCGTCGGACACGCCGGTGTCCGAGAGCTCCTCGCCCCTCAAGAGCGAAGTACTGAGCCAGAGGGACTGTGAAAAGAACTGCGCCAAGGACATCGGCTACTACGGCTTCTACTCGCACAGCTAGAGCCGCCCGGGCCCTCGGGCCCCGCCAGCGACCGCCGCCGGGCCTTTTGCACAACGACCTCGGCAGTCAGCGCACTGAGCTCCACCTTTTCACCTGGGCTGCGATGTCCCCGCGGGCCCCCGCCTGCAGGGGCCCCCGGCGCTGAGACCGCGACCCCGCCGCGGACTGTCCCAGCCTCCTCGGCCCACGTTAGACTCTCAAACACTCAGCGCTTCCTTCCTTTGCCCCTGGCTGGATAGTAGGGGGGTGGTAGTGATAGTGGGACAGAGCCTGTGAGACGCCTGTACATAGTGTTAAATTCCCTGTACCGGATGGTTCTGCTCTCTCCGTTCCCATCGTGAAGTCACAAAACTAGCTCTCGTTTAACTTTCTCCGTCCCTCCCCTCCCCTCCCCTCCTCTCCCTCCCCTCCCCCAGGTTCTCTCTCTCTTCCAAATGCCTCTGGAAAGATGAAATGGCCCAGAGCTGTAGCAGCGAGTAATGGGTTTCTCACTTCCCTGCAATCCCGCGCATGAAATAATTACTCTGTGCCCTGGGCTAACACAGCTAAGGAGTAGCTGAGCTTCCCCCTCGAACGAGGAGAGCTCCATCTTGTAGGAAAGTCGATTAAGTAGCATGACGCCTTCAAACAGCAAAATTAACTGCATCTGTATCTCTTCCCCCCCCCCTCCCTCTTTTAAAACGAACAGCTCGATATCAGCAATATGATGATTATTCTTTATTATTCTTTTTTTTTGCGTATTTGTTTCCCCCCCCCCCTAAAGTGCCAAATCCATTACTGGTCTGTGCAGGTGCCAAATATGCTGACAAACTGTTTCCAAATTTCTTTGCAGTTTCTCCCCCTTTATTTATATTGCTGTAAATCTTTGTAATGAATAATCTACAAACGATATAGACGACTGAATTGTTGGTAACCATAGTGTAGTCCAGTGAAGATGAATTGTGAGCTGTATATTTTACTGCATTTAGTTTCGGAATTTGACTTTTTCAGAAGAGTAGATGACTGAGATCGGACTTCCTGGGGAATACAGTAGGCGTGACAAGAAGAGTGGTCTTTCCTGTGAGCCTCTGACTTCATGTGCGAAGGAGCATTCACCCCCGCCCCGCGCCCCTGGAAGTAGAGTAGCGAGTCTTCGACTGTCGAGTAGCAAATCGATCCGATTCACGCATCTCATCTGGGGGGCAAACCTACAAAGTTCAATATGCATCGGGCTAAATATTCAGTCTAGATTCCAGTCGACGGGGACACTTTCCTAATAGAAATTCAGGGTCATAAACGTGTGCATATTTTTGACTCTCTTCTGTAAATCTAATGTTGTGATTTTTATATTTGTTCTGTTACGTCTGTGGAACTGAATGATTTATACAAGTACATGCTCCATTGAGAAATGTTTCGTTTTTTGCCCGTTTGTATTGTCTGTGTATAACAAGTAAAATAAACCTGGCAAAAATATAACCCGGTGTTTGGAAGCAGTGTCACGTTGTGCAGAGCTCGGAGAGGGGAGTTAGCTCCTCAATGACCGGGGTGGCGGGCCAGCCCTCCTGCTCCTGCTCCTGTCAGCTCAGGTGTTCCCCACCCCCCGCTTTCCTAGTTCAGGGAGGGGGAGAAGGGAGGCCGCGTGCAGTGACTGTACTTTCTCTAGGATCTCGGGCCGAGCCCTGCAGCTCTGCCCAGCGGGGCGGGGAGCGAGGACGGCCGTCCAGCCGCAGCGGGCGCCGGAGGCTTCAAACCCGTCTCTTGAGGTGCGAGCGCGGAGCCGGGGCAGGCCCCAGCCTCCCGCCAGCTGGAGGGAGACCGACCGGCTCCTTACAACCGTTTTGCGCTTCCCACCAGGGCGCCGGACGCGTCGCTGCCGCCTGCGCTGCGCTGCGCCGCAGGCCCGTGTCCGCCGG